AAAATGTTTTAGGTTTAAATTTGTCCAGTTCTAAATGACATAATAAGATATTGGACAAGAATTCTGAAAAATTACATATAAGATGTCAAGAATAACTTGTAAAATATGTGCTTAAAGGGTACTTGTTTTTCAGAGATATTTCAAGGTCCCACATGGAAAAATTTTGTATACAATAGACTTTCAACTCCTAGAAAAACAAAAGAATATCATTATTTTACATGTTATAAGTAGAGTTCAAAATCCCCATCAATGTTTTTATATGTTACAAAGAGTTTATATTTATCCCACCGTGCATTTTGAATTAGGCTTGTAACCCTATATACCCATAAAATCCTTGTGAAAGTTGTAAATATAATCCTACTTTTTATTAATTACCTCTTTCCTGTTTGTTGCATGAAAAGTCTCCAATGAGTCAATCATTAGATTGTATCATCAATGTAGTCATAATGGATTAACTATAGAAATAGAAAATTCAATTAAATATCAATTAATAAATTAATCATGCTGAACATTGTGACTGTGGAATACTAAGTTATCTATACTTTGTACAAAGACAGATCCAATTGAGAAATGGATGTTAATCGGGTTTTGAGATTTCAATTGGATTAAATGTAATTTTTTTTGGGGTTGTTTTGCCCCCGGGGGGGAGGGGGGAAGGGGGGAAGGGGGGAAATGACGACATCTTCTTCTTCCTTTTTATTCTACTACCAAACTAAGACTCTTGGCTAGCTTCTAGACTATCGATAAAAGTCAGTAGCCAAAAAAAAAAAAAAAAGAATGCCTGCCACATTGGTATGTACAATAAATTTAGTGTATTTCAGTTTGTTTAGCATTAGACCGGCTGACAAAAAACTAACTCTAATCTTAGTAGTTTAGCCAGGATTGGCGTTTTAATTGGCTGATTAGATCGATTTGAAACCAAGAAAACTGATATGAGTGGGGTTAGAATTTTTAAGATTTTTATCTACAACAATTGGAGCTATACTAAGAAAATGGAAGTGGAGGTATGCAAGGGCTTATATTCTTAGAATTCCGATGGTTGATGGTTCTGATTTCACAGTTTTTTTTTTTCATTCAATCTAACGGCAACAATCTATTCTATTCCTTTATTATGGAGGAGGGGACGTCGAATAAGACTTATCCAACTTCAGAGCTATTCACTTCAAAAAAGTTTATGCAGGAAAATGCTCGACATAAATAAGAATATAGGTTAAAAATTTGTTGCTTAAAATTAAGGTGGTTTCCTAAGAAATATTGGCTTCTAGCCTTCTATTCCCCTTTACCTCATTTTAAGACCAAATAGCCTAACGTTTTTTCTATTTGACAATATTTAAACCAACAAATTCCTTCAAAATTTCCAAACGATTTCTATTTTCAGATATAGAAAAGTAGGAGCTGTTGAAAACCAACCTAAGCCTTTACACCAACAACTCCATTAAACTTCAACACTTCCACTTTTTCCTTCTCTTTGTCCTCCAACTTTTTTTTTTTTTTTTTGAAAAAAGGAAAATATTACAGGGAAAGAAAAATCATTAGGAACATACTTTTCCTCTTTTTTTCCCTTTGTTTTTTCTGTGGAAAACCATTCAAATTCTCCTTTACTAGTCTACAGCCAACCAGAATAGGTTGACATTTCTCTCGAATAATGACCTAACATATCACACCATTTAGCCCAAAGAAACAAAGGAAAAAAAACGAAAATAAAAATTATAAAATATGACGACACCATTTTGTAGCATATAGACTTCACTTCCATAGTTGGCTTAACATGAATCTCAGAAGGAGTTTCTAAGATTTTTCGCGATGCTGCTGGGAAAAGCACGACGACTTTCACCCAAAAAAAAAGAAGTAAAAGTTTGGCCAGAAAATTAAGGTCAAAATCATTTTTTACTAAGTCAAAACAAGTAAAAATTGAATCATCAATTGGACCAATTAATCCCAAGGGCGAAGCTTCAAACCAGTGCAAACTTCTAATATTCCATGCTATGAAACAAATATCCAGTTTTTAACTTTGGCTTTTTATCAAATTTGATATTGTTTTTGAAATACATTTATACTCACCATCTTTTTGTTGCCATAATATTAATTAAAGGATAATGAGAGATTGGAATGATAATCAACCGACTTAGATTGCAATTTTTTTGAATGTTTTTGTAGAGAAATAACAGTATGATGATTTTTTTTTTTTTTTTTTGGAGATGTAATGTGTATACGTTAAAGTGGTTGAAAAATATGTTAAGGAAATTCGAAAAGAATTTTCTACAAAACCACCAATCCATGCAAGACCAGCTAATAATTTTATTGATTATGACAACTTTCAAGAGTGGCCTATATGTTCAATTTACCAGTTCTTCTAATTTCTTCGCTTTGAGTCACAAACCAAACAAGAAAAAAGAAAAAAAAAAAGAAAAGAAAAACACATCTTGTCACATGTTATGTTTAAGGAACACATGAGCTACTTTTGTATTAACTAAAATCACATTAAAGTTACCATAATTAAAAGCTAATGGCTAAATGAATTTTAATTTCTTAAATTTATGTCATCTAAAGAAAGGTGTCTAATGGGTACTCATTTTACGCAAGTTATTATTTTTTTGACAATCAAGCTTAAACTCCACAAATAAGAAAAGAGGTCAAAATTATTTTGCTATATAGGTAATAGGGTTTCCTCAATGAATTTTGGCTTCTAGTCACCTTTACATCATTTTAAAATAAAAAAAAAAAGATTAATTCTAAGGGGAGCAGGAAAGGGAATTTAAACCTAAGACCTTTAATTTTCAGGTTTCTAACCTTGGTCACCAAACTAAAACATTCTCGACTTCACTTCCCTAATTGAGGTAGCGTAAAGTTCCCTAGATTGGGATGCTGCTAGGAAAATCACAACCTTCCATAAAAAAATAAATAATAATAAATAAATAACAATTAAAAACACAATTAAAAATTTGACTAGAAAATTAAGGTCCAACTCATTTTTTACTAGGTCAAAACAAATAAAAAATTGAACCATCAATTCGTCCAATTCATTCCTAAAGGCGAAGATTCGAAGTAGTGCTGACTTCTCACCTTCCACGCTATTCAAATAGACATCCATTTATTAATTTTGGCTTCTTATCAAACTTTCCAAATCTCTGCTCCATCCTTTTGTTGTGATGATGCTAAAAAATGAAGAAAGATAGGTACCATGCTAAAAAATCGTTGTGATGATCAACGATTGATTTTTGGAATTTTCTATAGAAAAATGTCACTATAGCACTTTTTTTTTGAGAATTTGTTGGAAAATAGGTTAAGAAAATCCCAAAAACAAAATCTATAAAACTACCAATCCAAGAGAGACTGGGTAATAAATTCTTTGAATGTGACAACTTTCAAGAAGGCCTATAAGTATAAGTATTTTTCTAACGGGTACATGGTGAGCATTCATTAATACATCTAAAATTTATCTTATTTATTATGTATATACACATATTAATAATTATCACCATCCCTTGCATTTATATATTTTTTCTATTTAATTCTACATAATCTCTTTTGTATTTATTTATTTTTTCTAATTAATCTTATATTTTCAATATGTGACATCTAAAATATATTTTAATGAGTGACCATTGAGCACTCGTTAGACAGACCCTAAATTTAATTTATCTTTTTTTTTTTTAGTTTAAGTCACAAATCCGAAAAAAGGAAAAAGAAAAATCATTGTGTTATATGTTATGTTTAAGGGACATATGAGCTACTCTTGTATTAACTAAAGTTACATTAAAGTCACCATAATTGAATTCCAATTCCTTAATTTATGTTACCTAAAGAAAGTTTGTCTAACTGATACCCAATTGAGAACTGACAAAAGGGTTTTAACAATAAATGTAAAATTAAAACGTGAAAGTGTTTAAATGCAAGGGGATGATATAAAGTACTATATGTTTTTACATCATAAATTAAGTGTAAACTCGTCAATACAAGGATAACATAATCAAGTTAACCAGGGCCAGCAAAAAAGGGGTCGGTTTGCAAGTGTCAATTTTGGTTCCACCAAAAGGGATGAAAAAAGAAAGGCAACTTTTTCTTTCATGCAACGATGTCTATCTTCTCCTTAATGCAGATGGAGTAAAGGTTTGAAAAGTAGGTACATAAAGAAAGTTGAACCGTACCAATCTTCCGTACATGGGGTACACCTTTCATTGGATGGAGGTTTTTTGTTCCGTGCAGTAATGGTTTCCACCTCAATGGACAGTTTTTTTTAGTGGAAAAACAAACACAAAACGGAAAATCCACCAACCAAACCATGAAAGCTGCATTAATTTATGAATCACCAAACTCTTCTTCTTTTAACGTTTTTCTTTTCTTTTATTTTTATTTGATGTAAGCAAGCAAAAACTTTATTTCATTTTTATTTTTTGGTCCACAGTCAAATTCAATCTGTCATCAAAGACAGGATGATCTCACAAAAGTCAACAATTTTCATCTGGGCCCTACATTTTCTTGTTTCTTGTTTCTTGTACTCTTAATCCAGCAGAAAACCAGTACCAAGTAATTGAAAAAAAAATGTTATAAAAGTTTAAATTGAGTGGTGATGACTTTACTTAATTACAAAATAAATCTCTAAAATAGCATTCAAGTTCGAAGACAATATAATATGTTTGTTACATCTTCTGTTACACCACGTATTAGCATTAGACATGTATTTTGTTTGCAACAGTAAAAAAATTGTAGCATCAAAACTATAGTAGACGATAATAGGAGACTAGTGAGCATTGTTGTTAATATCAGTTTCAAGATGAGAATCGGATGCATTTTATATTTGATTAATCAATGAAAATTCATCTTCTATATACTATTTTTTTAATATGCTTACAAATTACCATAGGTTTTCTTGAATAATAATAAAATAGCAAGAGAGCAAGATGAATGATTCATTTATCAACTAATTTTCCGCAGGCTGTTTTGGTGCTTTAATTCCATCAGCCAAAAAGCAAAGACAGGATTAACAAAGTGTCTCTCTTTCTCTCCATACTTCTCATTTTCTCGTTGGCTACTGTCACGTTTATGGTGGGGTGGCAACCCTTCGGAAAAAAAAATGCGGTTGAGTTGTAAAATCTTGTCCTAAACTATCATCTTTTGTGATAAACTAACATCTTCTCTTGCATTTTGTCTGTCATACATTAACTTTTAAGTACAAGTACATTAGTACTGGTAAAATTGGACATTTTTTGGTGGTCTTCTCTCTCTTATAAAGGTTCCAAAGATGGGCACATGCTTCTTGGTGGATGCATAGATCATCACAATCATCATCATCTTTCCAATGATCTCTTCATTGTTGTCAGAGCCCAAGAGAGAGTACAGATAATAGTACTAGTACTGGTGGTGTAAAGAAAAGAAAAGGAGGTGCAAAAATCTATTAGCTTAAATCAGTTACTACTGCTGATAAAGCAGAGAGGTACAGAATGAATGGTCTAACACATCTTGAACCAGATTACTCTGAATTTGTTGAAGTTGATCCAACTGGAAGATATGGCAGAGTATGTATTTAAAAAGATCCCTCTTTCCCTCTTTCTTTCTTCTGTTTCTGATTAGAGATGTGATTTTGTGGTTTTTTTTTCTTGGGTTGCAGTATAACGAGATTCTTGGCAAAGGAGCTTCAAAGACAGTGTATGAATTGGCAACTTATTCTTTCCCACTTTTTTTTTTGTATTTGATTTTTGTTGCACACCCCTTTTGGAATGGTTTTGCACTTCCATTTTAGGCAACAAATTTGATTCAAGTTTTATAGTACAAGGAAAGTGAATATTTTTCAGCCAATTGTCCCCTTTAGGATTTAGATCTCCCAAAAGCTTGTTAGGTTTGTAGGTGGATATAGCATAGGCATTCTTTACTCTTTTTTGTTTCCTTCTTTTTCTTTTTAATGAAGATGGAAGCTTTCTGGGATTTGGGGTGTTTTTGAAAAGGATTTTTGATATATTGGCTTTTCTGATATGATTTGGTTTGTTGATTGATTCAGTTACAGAGCATTTGATGAATATGAAGGAATTGAAGTTGCTTGGAACCAGGTCAAACTCTATGATTTCCTGCAGAGTCCTGAAGATCTTGAAAGGCTTTATTGTGAAATTCATCTACTCAAAACATTGAAGCACCAAAACATTATGAAATTTTATACATCTTGGGTAGATACTGCCAACAGGAACATCAATTTTGTCACTGAGATGTTCACTTCTGGGACTCTTAGACAGTGAGTGACGTTTTGTTTCTTCTCAATCTCTGATCTATTCTTTGTTTGCCGTAAGCAACAGGTTATGATTTTAATCTTGCTTTTTATATATAACTTTATTTATTTATTTTTTGGTTTTGATTTGCCAGGTATAGGTTGAAGCACAGGAGAGTAAATATTAGAGCAGTAAAGCATTGGTGCAGACAGATCTTAAAAGGTCTTCTCTATCTTCATAGCCTTGACCCTCCTGTGATCCACAGAGACCTCAAATGTGACAACATCTTTGTTAATGGCAACCAAGGTGAAGTGAAAATTGGGGATCTTGGCCTTGCTGCTATCCTGCGAAAATCTCATGCCGCACACTGTGTTGGTATTTTGCCCTCTAATTGAACTCTCTTCATGTATGCAAGTTGCTTTCTTCCCAAAATTCAACTCTGCAATTGTTACAAGCTCAAAATTTTGCTACGCGCTTAATTTGTTCCGTAGACCTTTTAATCCTACTTTGCTGGTCATTAGCAATGATATGTTGCTTTAATAATGCTCATGAGATATTGAAGTGGTGATCTTTTCACCAGGAACACCTGAATTCATGGCTCCAGAAGTTTATGCAGAGGAATACAATGAACTGGTTGACATCTATGCATTTGGGATGTGCATTTTAGAAATGGTCACTTTTGAATATCCCTATAGTGAGTGCACTCATCCTGCTCAGATCTACAAGAAAGTTATCTCTGTAAGAATTCTTTCATTTGAGTTCCTCAATGCCCTTTTTTTTTTTTTTTTGGCTTTTTCTCCTGTAACATACAATTTCTGGTTTAGGGGAAGAAGCCTAATGCATTATATAAAGTAAAGGATCCTGAGGTACGACAATTTGTTGAGAAATGCTTGGCCACCGTTTCTCTCAGGCTCTCAGCAAGGGAGCTCTTAGATGATCCTTTTCTTAGGATTGATGGTTCTGAACCAGAATTAAGAGCTGTTGAGTGCCCGAGAGAAATGAATTACATGAATGCCCTATTAAGGCAGCCTTACCCTGATATAGAGTATGAAGGAAAATCGTTCAGTGACAACTCCTTCAAGGGATATTCCAATGGTTATGCTTTTGAAGACCAGAATGGATGGGATTGTCATCCAAATGAATTCGAGCAAAGTGGAATCGATCTTTTTGAGTATAATGAGGAAGATCATGATGAAGAATCTCCACATGTGGATGTAACCATTAAAGGGAAAAGAAGAGAAGACGGTAGCATCTTTTTAAGGCTTCGGATTTCAGACAAGGAAGGTCAGCAATTAAATGCTTCCACTCTTAAATGTCAGTTTCATATAAGGTTGTTTTGGCTTTAGATTGCAGCTGATGTAAGTTGGTGTCATTTCAGGTCGCATCAGAAATATCTATTTCCCGTTTGATATCGAATTGGACACAGCACTAAGTGTTGCAACCGAAATGGTTGCAGAACTGGATATGACCGATCAAGATGTCACTAAAATAGCAGATATGATTGATGGAGAGATTGCTTCTTTGGTGCCGGAATGGAAACGAGGGCCAGGAATAATCGAAACTCCCCGATTGGCAAATCCAAGCTTTTGTCAAAATTGTGCTTCCAACCACACATCTACAGGTTCTCTCATCAACTTTCTATCACATAATCCTGGTGCCCAGAACATTCAATTCTTGCAATGCTTGGGGAATGGATGTGCTGCTACACATGGTCGGTTTGAAGAGATCACCTATCAAGTTGGTAGTTCTTTACGTAATGAATTGGATGAAGCAAATAATCCTGGTTCGCCAAGCCAAAGAAATGGCTTCCATCCCATAGAGATTTGGGATCAGCATGAGAGCCATGAATGCAGTTCATTAGGTTCTGTGGGAAGCTGTTCCCTGGAAGAAGATGATGATGACGAAGAAGAAAAGTTGGATCAAGAAACTTCAGAGGACCATGAGAAAGAGAAAGTGTTACTGGAGTAAGTTCTCCAATGCAACAAATTTCATAATATCTTTATCAGGTTCTCAAACTTTAGACTCAAATTCCTTCGTTCCCCTATGAGCTCTCAAATGACTATGAACATTAAATTCAGCAGGAATTGAGATGGCTTAGAGCAAAATATCAGATCAACTTGAGGGATCTTAGAGATCAACAGTTGGGACTCACAAATAGATCATGCAAATCTCATTCAAGTTCAGCTAATAGCAAATGCAACAGTGAAATTGGAACAAGATCCCCCAGTATTCTTCTCAAGCCTTCTGCTGATCATGTTAACTTGGATTTGAACCAAAATCTTCAGCAAAGCAGCCCCAATTCAGTATCCCAAAGGGACCGGAAATGCGAGGCGACCAAGGAGACTCCTAATGTCAAGGACATAGTTGCTGTTAAGAAATTTTGCAAAAATTCATTACTTCCAAACTCACTTCACAGAACAACATCCTTGCCAGTTGGTGCTATTTACTTCTGATGTTTTTGCAACCTCACCAATTTTCCTTATTGTCTAAAATTGCAATACATTTTAGAGTCTCTATCATTTTGAGTACAAACGCTAGCTAGTGGTATACCCTTCAGCCCCTGGGCATTCCATCCTCCCTTGTTTGTACCCTTTTTAGGGATCTACCTATAAAGAGAACCATACTAAGGACTATGTGTAAAATTACAAGAGTCGTATAAATTTCCAAGGCTTCAGAATATTCAGCTGTAATAAACTTATCAGTCATCTCCATCTGTTTCCTGTGATACTGAGATGATTTTGACCATTGGTTTCGTACCAACTATTTCTTGATCTTTGATTGCCTGTTCTACTTGTTCCTTTTTTTTTTTTGGTTTTTTTCTTGGGGGTTGGGTGTTTGGTTGTGTTACTGACTTGCATATACGGGGTTGTCAAGTGAAATTAGTTGGTTCGTCAGTTATGGTTGGCTAATGAAACCCTTTTGGAGAACTCCTAGGCTGATGCCTACCAGATTTTGCTCCCCTCAAATGGCCAATAATGGAGGGCGTTCCTCAAATTGAAATTATTGAATATGTCCCACAAAAAGACGCCATGCATGCTTCCTTCCAGCCATAATCTACCCGAAGACCCCATTATCTGCATGGCATGAAGCCTTATTTAATGCTGCTTGTGGTCCACTGTCCACACTATCATCATCACGGAGGCTGAGGCATTGTTCCAATACTAGGCATTGACAAAGAATGGACATCTTGTGCCTTTGCTCCTCAAGTGTATAGTTCATACACAAAGTTAATATAATCGTTCATCGTTTCCAAAAAAAAAAAAAAAAAGACAAAGAATGGACATCTTGAGTTTTTTTTGCTCGTTAAGTGTATACTTTTTTGGCTCAAATATATAAACAATGAGCACTTCAGTTGCTATTTGATACTTATTAACTCGCCTGGCATGATCTGATTTGCAAAATATAAAGTCATATTGAATTAATTTGGATTCAAAAGTAACATATATATACATCTAGCATTGTGCATATAATTGTCAAAGAAAGTGAGAAATTTGAAACATCTAAAGCAAGAAAAGAGGACAACAATTTTGGATAGAAGCTCAAAGACCAACAAATCTCTGGTTCTGTTCTTTATTCTTTTGGTTTTGTTTGTTTAATTTGAGAAATTTCAAGCCTTATAAGAAAATAGAAGAAACGAGAGTGCTCGAGAGTCTCGTTAAAGATTTCATGATCACCTAACTGATGTTTCAAACTAGTTGTGCTTAGGTTTTAAACTAGTTGTGCTAAACAAACTAAGGAAACAGACTAGCAGGAAAGCACTATGTATTCAATTCAAGGCCATCCACTTGCTGTCCAATGTGGCTCCAGTTTCGCTAGTCATCACATTAACTAAATGCTGAGATGATGTCCACTGTCTGCACATCTTCAACAATCAACCGGAATGCATTTGACATGGTAAAGGTTGAGATAGTCATTGTGATTAATAGAAGACATGTTACTCTGTCTCATTCCATATATTCATTATTCTTTCCAGCTCTATATCCTGAAAAAATGTGGCTATTTAGGTCATCTCTTACTAGGTTAGTTACTAGTTTAGGATTTATATCTTCTTATCCATCATTCCCAGCAAACAAAAAAGCAAGAAGTCTCACACATTGGAGCAATAAAATATTAGTCTTTTTTTTTTAAAAAAAAAAAAGAAAAAAAGCAAGAAAATGTATTATCTAAGTTCTTTAATTTTTTTTATCAAAAAATTATGTCTAGTAAGAAACTCTTAGTTCTTTAATTACCCAAGAAAACTCTAGATTGATTGTTACATCTGATGGAAAGGCCAAAGGAGCTTTTCGCGAGTGGGAAGGTCATGAGCTTCAATCTCAATCAAATAAGATCAATTTCAAAGAAAAGGAAGTGAGGCGTTATTAAAATCGCTATCAAAATGAAAATAAATCGAAGTGGACTTTCTTTTGCTCATTTTAGTCCATATGTTTGTGTCCAATACAGCCCACGTTATGTATGCAGCCTCTTGGAAATCCCAGAATCACACAGTTTATGTGTGCAAGATTTATGAGACAGAGGTTTATTTTTTCATGTTTTCTGGTGTGAGCAAATCCCAAGTGAATGTGGTAAAATCTGCATCTATACAAGTTTTTATTTCATTCAAAAAAAAGTCTGGATTTATATAAAGAAGTATGGATTTACACTGAAGGATTCAACAAAAACGTGGGCAGCTAAGGAGGCATTTTTATTTTTCTACATTGTTGCATGATGATGAAATAATTATCATCAAGTAAGTGGAATGTTCAATCATATTATAGTATATAATTAGGAGTGATTGATTGGGTAAACAAGTGAGTAAAGAAGGGAGACAAATCAAAATGGCAAAGATTTTGACGAGAAACTTTTGTATCACTTTAGAATGATTGATGACAAGCTTTGTATTTTCACTTTTCCCAACTTTACTACTAGTGCTATCTCAATAATGTTGATGGTGAAGAGGTTGAGAAATGAGAAGTCTCCTCTCCTTTCTTTATCATGGTCGGCAGCATGTGGACCTCTCGATCCACAAAGAGATGAACGTACACATATTGCTTTTGCATGGATTGAGGATTGAGATTCTGTGCAGTCACAGTAGTGACTATAAATTGCAATTAAAAGTGAGAGATTGAGATTCTACACTGTATTGAATAGTTGATACTGGTAACAGGGAGAACACATTCACGAATTAATATGGTAAAAATGAACTTCTTTTTTTTTTTTCAGATTTCCATACCTAAAACAATCAGTTTTCTATGGACTAAAGAGTAGGGTAGATCCGCCAATGCCTCAATCGTCCTATAATGGATTGGACGGTAGATAGAGGCCACCTAACCTTATCTTAGCTATGGTAACGTAAATAGCAAACCAGTGAATTATAGAAGAAATCAAAAGGTTCCTACATTACACGTAAAACCATGTACTTTGTCAGAAGAAATTGATCCATTGCAGTAATCATTTCATAATAACGTTCCTATTTGGATGTCATTTTTCTGGGAAAGTAGTTAAATGCATTTTTCAGATAAAACGGTGATTGAATATATATTTAATACTTTTCTACAACATGCTTTTTACAATAATACCCAAACAAGCAGAGTTAATTTAATGAGTTTAAGATTATATTTAAGGATTTCTATATTATTTTTTAGTGTGTCAAACAAGTTTAATTATGAACATTAGACTTGACATGGTCCTTTCCTGAAAGTCATATATGACAACTGTATAATTAACCTAGTCGAACTTAGGCCTCATAGTTTGAAATTAACGTTCAAGAACTATGACATAAGGTAGAGCAATTTGCAAGTTCTCAAGTAGGCTTTAGATGCTTATATGCAAAGTCATATATTATGACCTAATTATCAACTTCAACATCACAAATTAATGAATCTTGAAATTGTGTGAGAAATTTTTGACATTATAATTTGAGGAGACTCTAAACTAGAAAGGACATTAGTTGGGTGACCATAAGATCTCTTGTTCAATTCTCAAGTTGTTCTCTTTCTCTGTTCCTCTTTAAAGCCAAACAAAGTTTTAATTGTCATTGATGTTGTCTCTCATCTTACCAATGAAGCCATGTTTAATGGTAAAATAATCGAGATTGAGAATTCAGGAATAAAGATCTTGGATATAACTCTCAAAATATGTGAGTTTATTACAAATAAATATTATAGTTTATTGCGCTATTTTTGGTTAACTCAATATTTACAAATAAATAATAGCATTGGATGTTTATCGTGATACTAATATGAATAACATTACAAATAACTATTAATGTTTATGGCGCTATTCATATCATCACACAATATTTATTAAGTAACTCAATGGTAGGATGATTACTTTACACTCATACGCATTGGATTCAAAAATTCGTGAACATGATTCAATAATGCTTCAATTGTCAAAGTCCATGTGCTCTTGATAAATAATTTAGAAAGTCAATGTTCCATTGTTAATTTTCATCACGATTTGTGTTGGGTTTGTGGGTTACCCCATTTGTGAGCCAAGTCACAAAACAAAGTCATAGATTTTCATTCTTAGGATGTAGAAAAAGAGTCAGCCGTCACTTTTGCTTGTTAGGAGAAAAAAACCGAAGAGAGAGAAAGAGTAAAAAGAGTTAGAGAGAGAAAGTTCTTTGCAATTTTGAAACCTCAATTGGAAAGTGATTTGAAATTCGATTGAAACGAAATTTTATACACGCGATCCTCTTATCAAATTCTGCTCATCTACTGGTTTAGATTTCGGATTTTCTCTTCGTTTGGTAACGCCTTTCCAAACCTACTTCTTTGACATGTATAGTTTTTGGGGGTGATTTTGTTGCAGTTTGATTTAGTTGATATTGGTGATATTATTATCATCCAAATATTTCAGATAGACTTGTGTATTTTCATTATCATCATAGTGGAGATTTTGACTGGATTAGGTCCCGTAATTTTTTCAATTTGGGTTTTTCAAGTAAAAATCTTGGTGTCCTGTACCATTTATTTTTCCTGCATTTTATTATTACTGTTGGCATTGTTACTTGGTGATTTGATTTATTTCTATTTTAACTGGTACTTGAGAAAAGAGAAATTTGTTTTGGCCTAACTCTGATATTATGTACCTACATTAGTACCTCTTTTTCCAACAAAACGATACCAGAGCAGTCAGGTTGGACTACTTAGTTGTACTAGTTAAAAATGAATGATTCGCATAGTGGTTATATGATAAAATGTAATGCAACTAATTATTCGATTTGAAAGTCTAGAATGGAAGACTATCTGTATTATAGAGACTTGTTTGAACCTATTTTAGGGGATAAGGGTAGACCAACTAATATGAGTGATGAAAAATGGGTTGTTTTGCACAAAAAAACTGTTAGTAATATTAGAAAATGGATTGATCAGAATATTTTTCAGCACTTTTCTAATGACACAAGAGCTGATGTATTGTGGAAAAAGTTTGAGAGCGTGTATGAACGGAAAATTGGTTTGAACAAAGCTAATTGTCTGAAGTAGATTACTCAAATGAGATACAAAAATGAGGAAGATATGACTAAGCACGTGAGTAATTTTCAGGGATTAATAAACCAAGTAACTACATTGAATTTGAACTTGGATGATGAGGTGTAAGCTCTATTATTGTTCAGTTCACTGTCGGATAGTTGGAAAATCATGGTGGTCTCCGTCAGCAATTCAGCTTCCAATGGTGTGTTGACCATGGTTATTGCAAAAAAGGCCGTGATGAATAAAGAGTTCAGGAGGAAGGAACAAGGAATTGTCTATAAATCCCAGGCATTGGTGACAGAAAAGAAA